CACTTTGGAATATTACTAATTTTGTGATGCTCTTTCAAGCTGTGATGAAATTTTTGTTTAGGCTAGTTAAGATCAAAATTTGGGAAAAGTGGTAACCATTTCTCGTTTGTAATCTAAAATGACTGGAAATTGCAAATTTCGCAAGGCTATATAATCCGCATTTTACAACATTTCGCAACGAAACTTTGGAATATTACTAATTTTGTGATGCTCTTTCATGCTTTGATGGAATTTTGTCTAGACTTGTTGAGATGAAAATTTTGGTTAATTGGGGAATGGTCCATTGAGTAATGTTGAAGGATTTTGTAGATGGAAACTTCGAGTGTGAATTTTATGCATTTGTTTAAACCAAGCCAGGAGCAGGTGCGAAAATGGCAACTATAGGCCCCCTGGCAGGAATCGAAAGCTTCGGCCCTGATTATTGGGTGTACGGCTTCAGGAGTGCACATTCTAACCGCTTGGCTGTAGCAATAACGGTGATGTACCGCCCATTGAAATGCAGGCATGCGCAGAACGTATGCGCAGAACGGACATTACCTCACCTTTAAGTTTCATATTTCGGTTTTGAATAAAAATTGTCGCACAACATCAAGCAGAAATTGAAGGTTTATTGGATATCAGTCTTAGTCTTCTTGCACAACTATGTAGTTATATTAAAGTTGAACGAATCAACACTGCGCAAAGATGTGAAACAGACGCCCAATAGCTCCTTAAATTCCCATGTTTCCTTAAATGTTTACATTTTCCTGAAAACATATGCGAAAAATACACATTGATTAATTGTTTGCTCTATATGATGCGACAAAGATAATCAGGTGATGCCAAACGCATTGAAGCGAGAGTGAAAAGTTATATAAATGACAAATATAGTCGGCCAAACGAAACGCGGAACTCACTTGCTTCGTCGACCAAAAACATCAATAATGCTATGATAATAATTCATAAAATTAATCAATTTCACTATTTCATTGCTATATAGGCCTGATCAATTTGGATTGTATCCTCAAGTTTTAATTACCATATTATTTACTTGTGACTCGTACTTCCAAAGTCCATAGTACTTGCCTGAAGCCATCACTGCTCGGGTTGGTTAAGTGAACTGATAGACCAGACAGACAACGCCCAACATATTTTCAAGCGTAACAAAACAATAGGATAGAGGTGGAGAGTGTATTTACATTGCCTGAAATATTCCGAAATATTGTAAAAACTTTCAACACTATAAATAATTTATATCGCAATTAAAAGGCTATTTCACATTTTAAACTACCATGTCCGTACCAACGACCCTTCAGAATAGACCAATTAATTGTGAAGTTTTGCTGCTTTTCCTTTAAGTTCCACACGTATTTTGAGAGCTCTGTATTGTTCCTGTATGTAACGTTATTGAATGATTTGTTGTGGTTATATAACCGTTTCTTGAAGGTGTTTCCCGTCATGCCAATGTATTCTTTCGTTTCCGAATTGCTGGTTACGACCTCTGCTTTATAAACTATGCAGTCTAATAGGCATATCTTCTGGAGTGGACATTCGTCGCTATTGATACAATTGCATGTGACGCTGTTTGTTGATGATGTTGTTTGGATTGTCGATTTCGCGCTTGATAGTATTCTGGTGTTATGTTTAGAAATTATGCTCTTGCAATTATCCATGCAGCTGTAACTGACTTTCACCGAGTTACGATTAAATATCTTATGAAGGCAGCTGGAGGGTGGGAAATGATTGTCAATTAAGTTGAAGAAAATCTTGCCCACATTCGTTCTTACGTCCTTGTTGTACGGTGGATTGAACCAAATTATGTTTGGTTGTCTTCGTTTATTGCCACTACATTTCATACATGGGGGCAGCGGCTGAAAAGGCATTTTGGTCGGATGATAATTGCGAAATACGTTTGTTCACTGATAACGGGATTTGTTTTATGATCGATGGTGGATGATTGGAATGACTGTTAATTTTCAAACCTTCAAATATTGCTCTTAAAGTTTACCAAATAAATAAATATTAAATATTCAAGTTTACTCACAAAACGTAAATATATAATAAAATAAACAAACAGCTACTAATGCAATATGTGGCCAAAATAACAATATGGCACGAACATCGGCGCGAAGTACCGAAAAATAAGTGAGAGTTGACGAAAAGTTCCGAACGGCAACCGAACTATGCTGAAAAGAGCAAAATGGCTTACATATGTAAGTGGAAATTCTTTGAAAGCCTCGAATATAAAAAAAAATTAAAAAAATCCATGCGGCAGGGAAAAAGGATGCGGGCGGAAACAAGAAACTTTTTTTTTTTTACTTGCTCTTAGTGTAAATATACATATATAGTATCTTCCACTTCGAATATATATAATTAAAGCACCGTTTCACTACGCTCAATTTTTAGTACGACACGGATAAAATTGGTACAGTACCAAAAATCGAGCGCAGTGTAAACGGGGCTTAAGTTTATATGTATGTTAATGTTTTATATTTTATTATATACTTTTATTCTTGTTCAATATAATAATTCAAACTGAGTAAATATAAGAATGAAGTAGTGTAGCAGGTCTTAATTAAAAAAACCTATAAGATTTTTAGAAGGCCCCTAGCCAATCCAAAATAAAAAAACAAAATGTAATGAATATTTTTTTAGTATTCACATAACATATGCGATGTCAGTATGCAGAGAGGTCATACGTTCTACTTCATCTTATTAAATGTCTTCGTTCCAACCACAAGTCTGGATGAATGGGATACTAGCATTAGGTTTTTAGATTACCAAGAAAATTTATTGAACATGTTAAAAAGTGGGAGGGGGGGGGATAATTAGATATTCGTCCCCCCACTCCAAAACCTGGGAGGGGAGATGCGTCCCCCCATCCCCCCACAAAATTGACGCGCATGAGCAGAGTTACAAGCCTTATCGAAAACCTAATAATGATCCTCTTTTCATCAACAGTCATTTAAATCATCCACCATCGATCATAAAACAAATCCCGTTATCAGTGAACAAACATGTTTCGCAATTATCATCCGACCAAAATGCCTTTTCAACCGCTGCCCCCATGTATGAAATGTAGTGGCAATAAACGAAGACAACGAAACATAATTTGGTTCAATCCACCGTACAACAAGAACGTAAGAACGAATGTGGGCAAGATGTTCTTCAACTTAATTGATAATCATTTCCCACCCTCCAGCTGCCTTCATGAGATATTTAATCGTAACTCGGTGAAAGTCAGTTACAGCTGCATGGATAATTGCAAGAGCATAATTTCTAAACATAACACCAGAATACTATCAGGCGCGAAATCGACAACCCAAACAACATCATCAACAAACAGCGTCACATGCAATTGTATCAATAGCGACGAATGTCCACTCCAGAAGAAATGCCTATTAGACTGCATAGTTTATAAAGCAGAGGTCGTAACCAGCAATTCGGAAACGAAAGAATACATTGGCATGACGGGAAACACCTTCAAGGAACGGTTATATTACCACAACAAATTATTCAATAACGTTACATACAGGAACAATACAGAGCTCTCAAAATACTTGTGGAACTTAAAGGAAAAGCAGCAGGACTTCACAATTAATTAGTCTATTCTGAAACGAGCAGCCTCGTATTCTAGCGGCGGAAAGAAATGTATATAACCTTTGCTTCCAAGAGAAACTCTGCACTTTAAAAGCGGATAAGTCAAACTGGCTGAATAAGAGACGCGAGTTGTTCTCGAAATATATTTACTGAAATAAATACTATGTGTCTCATTTGCTTTTCAATCGTTGTGGTGAGAGTATCATGGTAACATAGATATAACTTTTTATGAGTTGAAACGAAATGAAATTGATATTGATAAGCAAACTTTATCGTTTCATATAAATACAATTCTCGACCGCCATAGAGATCTATATCGTGCAGTGAATGCTCATGGTCTAAACCTTGACCAAATGTACAGAGAGATCAATGTTACAAACTTTGACTGTATTATTGCCTATTTAGCTTTGGTATGTTTACAAAATGATAGCGAGCAATCTATTCGTCACAATGTACAAAAAACCATCGAGGCATGTCGAATTTTTAATATTCCCAAACATAAACCAAGTAAACGTCCAATTTTAATAACGCTCTCACTCACACCGATAGCTTTATATATCAGTCTATAATTACTGCCTGTTTCATTTTCACCTAAGCATTGTTTCGCCTACACGCATTCCGCACATTCTTTCGATAGCATAAAAGCAACCTACAATTTCGAAATTACTCACCACCTGATGATTCCTATACGGATGAAACAGACTGTTGTTGAGGTAAAACGAAAAACTATATTACGCTCTATCTATATGGTATTGAGCACTGTTTGTGTTTCGTAAACCAAAATCTTAAGCTATATATATAGATATATGAGTGTGCTTATGAGATATCAAAATAATGTATTTTTTATAGCCACAAACTCGACCGCGGCTATAGTTTGCCGAAATCTGGTATCCTTTATAGCTACAAATCCGGCCGCGGCTATAAAGTATGGAAAAATCCCCTATCCAATAATAGCCATAAATCTCCGTGGCTACAAGTATGCCGAAATCCGGTATCGTATAAAGGTTAATTTATGGGAACTAATTCTTATAATTTATATGAACGAAGTCCTTTTTGGTAACCAATGAATTAAAGTTAGAGATTGAGTTTCTTATAAATATGTCTAAACTTTGAGCACAGTCTTACAATTGAAAGGTTACACGTACTGAATCCAGCCAATTCTCCATCAGTTCTTAGCGAACATGCGGCAGAAAGAGGACAAAAGTCCCAATTGATTCTACCTCTGACAAACTAATCCAAATCTTAATCTTACTTTAATCTAACCTTAATCCAAAGCTAATCCTGGTTGACTGTTGATAACATCAAGTTTTAGCAACCGATTTGATTTATAAAGTAACATGTCACGAAAGCGACAATGCGACATCCCTCATTTTTGTTCCAGATGGATCTAAAACAGTCAAAACTTATCGGTAAACCAACTATTGAAGTTTCTTCATGAAAATTGTATAATTTTTCTTTCGGAATTTTGCTCAAAAATATATTTTGAAAGAATTTTTTCACTCCTCGAAACTCTCCTCAGTCCTTTTAAAGTTGTTTTTCGCGCTCACCGGCTTGATCGAATCACAGTGTTTGATCGTTGGAATTACCATCCTAGATTACTTACACCAATAGCCAATAAATATGTATATTTACAATGGCTTGTATTAACAAATTAATCATGTACTGAATATATCAAACTGGGAGCTAATTTAGGTGTGCACTGTGCAGTGATTATTATTTTGTGCTGTGCTTAGTGATGAATTTTCAAAAATAGTTCACATCAAGCTATATAAGCGTCACTAAACAAGGAAACTGAGTTCAAACTGTCCAACTATACGCGGACTGGCAGGTTTCCTATTGCTTAAGCGATGTACAGTGATATAGAATTTTTATAAGATTAATATGGAAATAATCCCTGTAACCTTTTGTTCAAGCCGTTAGTTTATGATGTCAATTTTTTAGAATCTTGATTAATTTCAAAAAATCGAGTGGAATAGAATCATCTTCACTCTCTCTAGCCTCGTTAAAACACATCACCATTGATTGGGCAGCGAACTCCAGGCTGTAAAAAATAAAAAAATAAATAAATATGTTTGATGCAAAATCAGCGAACTCCGCGCCGCAAAAAAGGAAAAAACCCCTTTTAAATGTGTTTGATGCGAAACCAGGATTATTCATATATTGAAAACTATAGACGTTCTCTGGTTATCTACCCATAGTCTAGGACTTGTATATGAGTTTGTATGCGTTTCATTTAGCACAGGTAATCTCAACTGTTTTAGGGTAAAATGACCATGGCGGTCAACATGGCATATGTGCCAAAAGCTGAATCCGGGACGAAAGTCCTGAAAATGACGCCGCCCTGAAACGGCAGTGTCGACATAGCTCTAACTTCAGAAAACAAAAAGTGATAGTCTTTCTGAAGTGCTTATAGTGTTTAGAAGGGTTGCTTTTAGGGGTGGTCATTGGAAGAAAAAATTTGTCTAAGTATAATATTTTACAAGAAAATGACCATGCACCACCACAGGTAAATTGCTGATTATGCATAAAATAACTAATATGCCTGGCAGAAATTAAATATTCTTATTTCCTAAAAAAATTATCATGGGGTTAAAAACTATGCTTAATTTAATATAAATATTGTTGATTTCATAAGGATTGTCATTGTTTTCTTTGAATATAATAAATTTTATTTCACTTACCCCCCATGAAAACGCGATTTCAGCCATATTTTGCCGTCCTGTTTGCTTTTTATCGCCGAATCACGCAAATATCATCCAGTTATTGTACTTTTACATAATCATAAATGGCTGAAGAAGATTTCAAAGAAGGTTTCATCCACTTTTGAAATAGTGCAGTGTATTTTATCTTCGATATTGTGTCTTTCGATATCTCGTCAAATTGCCGCCATTTTAATGGCTCGCCGCTTCTCTGCCCGATAAATGCCACTTCTTCGTTTTCATATGTATTTAGATTACATTATCCAAGAGTACTTCATTGTAGAATAGTCCCAATCCAAAAATTGGAAATATTATTTGTACTTGGGAGGAAAAAACTTCCCAGTACAATTGTCCTGTTAGAATTCAAAAGAAATAATTTAAAAGTCACGCGCAAGTTCGCGAAAATACCTCGTGGGTTACATAACAGGGGGATGAATATTTTCACGAAGCGTTTGTTCGCCACCACAGGCCACAGCAACCTAACTAAATGTATTATATTTTTTGTATTTTTATAATTGATGATAAATATACACAAATATTTATTGTTTTTTTATCAAAAATCACAAATATACAATAAATATAATGTACCTAACTTAGGTTGCTGTGGCCTGTGGTGGCGAACAAACGTTTCGTGAAAATATTCACCCCCCCCCCTGTTATGTAACCCACGAGGTGTTTTCGCGAACTTGCGCGTGACTTTTAAATTATTTCTTTTGAATTCTAACAGGACAATTGTACTGGGAGGTTTTTTCCTCCCAAGTACAAATAATATTTCCAATTTTTGGATTGGGACTATTCTACAATGAAGTACTCTTGGATAATGTAATCTAAATACATATGAAAACGAAGAAGTGGCATTTGTACTGGGAGGTTTTTTCCTCCCAAGTACAAATAATATTTCCAATTTTTGGATTGGGACTATTCTACAATGAAGTACTCTTGGATAATGTAATCTAAATACATATGAAAACGAAGAAGTGGCATTTATCGGGCAGAGAAGCGGCGAGCCATTAAAATGGCGGAATTTGACGAGATATCGAAGGACACATTATCGAAGATAAAATACACTGCACTGTTTCAAAAGTGGATGAAACCTTCTTTGAAATCTTCTTCAGCCATTTATGATTATGTAAAAGTACAATAACTGGATGATATTTGCGTGATTCGGCGATAAAAAGGAAACAAGACGGCAAAATATGGCTGAAATCGCGTTTTCGTGGGGGGTAAGTGAAATAAAATGTATTATATTTAAAGAAAACAATGACAATCTTATGAAATCAACAATATTTATATTAAATTAAGCATAGTTTTTAACCCCATGATAATTGTTTTTAGGAAATAAGAATATTTAATTTCTGCCAGGCATATTAGTTATTTTATGCATAATCAGCAATTTACCTGGGGTGGTGCATGGTCATTTTCTTGTAAAATATTATACTTAGACAAATTTTTCTTCCAATGACCACCCCTAAAGCAACCCTTCTAAACACTATAAGCACTTCAGAAAGACTATCACTTTTTGTTTTCTGAAGTTAGAGCTATGTCGACACTGCCGTTTCAGGGCGGGGTCATTTTCAGGACTTTCGTCCCGGATTCAGCTTTTGGCACATATGCCATGTTGACCGCCATGGTCATTTTACCCTAAAACAGTTGAGATTACCTGTGCTAAATGAAATGCATACAAACTCATATACAGGTCCTAGACTAGCCCACAGATCACCACAAAAATTGGATTCACTGACAAAAAATGTTGCAGTAATACTTTGATTTCCTCTATTGCCACATATTTTACAATGTAAACTATTAATATCGATTATTTCAGTGTAAAACAAAACTGAGCAAAAAATTTCCTTTTAAGGTGGCTCAATACACTTTTTAGCCAAAGGAGCAAAAGTTGAATATTTTCTGTTTAAATGCTTTTACAGGGTTAAGTTTTACTTATAATTGTAACACATAGTAAGACGTGTCGCAAACAAGAAGAATTCTGATAAAAGTCGCGTTTCCATGACAACTATAACGAATAATGGTAACACTAAATAGCCGAAAATATCGCAGTTCGGTGACCCCAATTTTTTTTTTAATAAATCAGTTACGTTAGTGTCAAGAAACATTTCTGGGAAGTTTAAAAAAAAATCTGTCGACTCAATTCTTTAGAATTAAGTTTCGACTTTTTTGACAGTTTCTGTCGACAATTTTTTTTTATTTTTCCATCATGAAATCTTGAAGTATGTATCGACTCATGTACAAATTTTCAGGGACACCTTACCGAACTCGTTTTGGAAATAATCACGGTTTTATTCCGCGCGGCCAAAGTTTTTCACACTCTGCAAGATCAATTAATTGACATGCGCGTACATGTTTTCGCAGGCGCATCTCCAGGAAAACACGCACAAAAATGTTTTTAGTCTAGTCGAAATATCAAATATTTTTTTTTTTATTTGTGCATGCCTAGTGATATTTTTTGATTTCCTGCAATCTGATTGGCTGCAGCAGCGGGCAGCTTTTTACGATATCTTGACCGTGGTCCAAAAGAGTTATTCCTTCGCGAAAAACCGAGGAGTGAAGACAATTTTCAAACTCAAAACACTAACCAAAAAGTTTAAAAATCGACCCTATCGATACTAAAGACAGTAAAATACAGTGAATTGGCTTCAGTGGACTTAGTGCCAAGCCCGAAATGTACTTTTCTCCGACCAAACTGTGTAAAAAAAACCAAATATAAACATCGAAAAACACTTGCCAGTGCTACATGTTTTGATTCAAATGTTCTACATATATTCAGCTATTCTTCGAAAATATACGTATAAATATAAATAGTACAACGTCCAACTTGTCCTTAAACATAAAATTTAAAAAAAACAAACCTTAAATGGCAGTTTAAAGACGATTCCTGAGCTTATTTAGCCCGCGTGCAGGCCCAAGGGAACTGGAGCTTATTTGGACAAAATTGTTTTGATAAATGTTGTAAAGAACAAATTGTTTTTCGGCAACTAAAATTTGTATTTGTCTGTCAAGAAGCCGCATTTTTCAAGCATGTCCATGCTGCAAAACGAATCGGAAAATGAATATTTTTAATTTGTTTACCTTCTGTTTTCTTGTTCTCCTAAAAGATTTTTATCCAGCTTTTATCGCGTCGTTTTAGCAGTTTGTCAGCCATGCTTGCACTATAAAAGTAACAAACGCAACTGATCTCAAATGTACTTCGCAACTGGAATTTTAACTATCATAAACATGATTCATAAACTATCAAATAAAAAAATAAACACGTTATTTACCGTTTAGGTCGGTCCGTACTAAAAAATATTTTCCCTCGGCCTCAGAAGCGGTCTTCGGCCTCGGGCCGCTTCTGAGACCTCGGGAAAATATTTTTTCAGTACGGACCGCGCAGCCGGTAAATAACATATATATATTGTGTGTTTTCTTGCTTAGAAATCAAATATATTTAGTTTTGCATGCTAACTCGGGATAACGCCAAGAAAACAGGTGATTGTCGGTCGTTTGGTATAAGATATGTGTGACATGTATGAACTTTTTGGCTTTTCTACATAGTTTTATATTCGTTTTCAGTCGTAACTTGTGTGTTTTCATGTTGTTGTTGACAAGTTAAAACAGTTTGAGCCGGCGCATGATGCTGTTTCACTGAATTCCTTTGTTGTTAGTAACACTTTGAATACATTTACCAGTTGTAAGTACAAAAAACCTCTGGATATGAACTTATAAATCGCCAAATATTGGAGTAAAAAACTTTCCGCCGGTTGGGTCGATCGTCGGTTTTCACAAGAGTTTGAACGTTGAACATTGCATTTTTTACCTTAAAACGTCTTCGAAAATGACTAGTTATTCAATGTTCAGAGCTAAATCAGGACAAAATTTGTTCTTTGAGAACAAATGAGAACAAGGAAGACTCAAAGCATCAAAATAAACATAACTTGTGGTTCGGATTTTTGAAAACTCAAAATTAGGTACCAGTCCCCCAATGATGAAAAGTGTATGGAGCATTGAACTATAAATTTGAGTTATGAGCAGAAATACTGGCAATACTGAACTTGGGAACTTGGGCTATATATCAAATTGAAGCTATTGAAAAACGCTATTTGGTGTAGAAATTTCAAGACTTTAGCTAAAAGGGAAATATTGAAAAACTACAAACATAATTACCGATAATTTGCCGTTTGCAGTTGTTTTTGTATTTTTTAAATACCTTTCTTTTCGCTGAAGTCTTGAAATTTCCACACCGAATAGCAATTTTCAATAGCTTCAATTTGATATATAGCCCGACGTTTGGGATCAAGTACTTCTGCTCATAACTCAGAAAAACTATTTTGGCTTCATCAAATCATAGGCCTTCATCATATAGCCACCTGAAAATGGAGCCACCTGAAAATGTCGTCTGATAGCTTCAATAAAATGTGAAATTCAAACCAAAAATACTGAAACTTCTTCATTTTTTACAAAGTCAAGAAAATTAACATCGACTTTAAAATGCTTTGAAATTTAATGTGCAACAGCGATATTTCGTTGGCACAACCTGTATAAACATGACAAAATTTGTGTTTACAGAATTTTGAGAAAATTGTGTTACAAAATAATACAAAGTTTACGCTTCGAAATGACGGTCATAGAAAAATCTGATTGCTATGTTTATATGTTTTTCAAATACTTTGAAAACCTAGAAATAATATTTTAAAACTATTATAGCAAAATACAGGGCAAAATGTTTATTCTGATGCTAATTTTCTGAGTCGCCTTTTTCGTATAAATCACACTTGCACATGAAATTTGCCAAAATTCAGTACTTTCTTCATTTTTTAGGCGAGTTTACAATTTATTAGCAAAAACTAGAAAGAAAAGCACATCTTCTGACCTAATCACATTTCATTGGCAAACCTGTATGTATGAGAAAATTAAGGTGAAAAACAAGCAATTTTAGCAAAATACCTCATGGCTCATATACTGAAATTTGACGGCGCACAGTATCACTCAAAAATAGGTACGCAATGCGTACATGTGGCTAGCCTGGTAAACTTTAACTCCCCAAACCCTCCTCCAAACCCAGAAAGCCTGCCATGCTGGTTAACTTTAATAGTAATAAGAAGACACCACGATGGTCAGAATGCGCAAATTTTCTCCCACTTGTGCGGGCTCATTTTGTCAGTGGAGTTTCACGGTATACTTGAAAAATACCGTGTCATATCTCGTCGCTTCCCATGTAAATAGCGAATTCAAACACTTGAATATAAAACACAAATATGTGAATTTGCACGCTAGGCTTTTGAATATAACGATTGTAAAAGTTTCCGTGTGATCTATTAGCAATTTAAAAGATACCTAAACTGTAATACTGCCATATATTTAATCTCGCGTTTGTTATTTGCGCAGCAGCAGTTTTGCCGTGGAATTAAAATTGCGTGTCATATATTTTTAGTAGGCAAATAGCGTTTGAGATATAGCAACATTAGCAAACAAATACACCGAAATCTTGGTTAGCACGCCAACTTTTACCACTTTTAATGCAATATTACTAAACTGTAATACTGTCATATATATTTAATCTCGCGTTTGTTATTTGCGCAACAGCACTTTTGCCGTGGAATTAAAATTGCGTGTCATATGATATTTTAATAGGCAAATAGCGTTTGCGATATAGGCCTAGCAATATTAGCAAACAAATACACTGAAATCTTGGTTAGCACACCAACTTTTACCACTTTTATGCAATATTAGTCAACTTATAAGAGAACGTGAGACAAATCATGCTGAATTATTCGACTCAGGCGCAATAATCCTTTATAGGTTTATTACAAATATGTAGACATTTGAGACGCCGTCAATGTCTGAAGAAAAGGTATACTTAAAGCCTTTAAATAAACGAGTTCGATGCACAGTTTTTGGTCTTTTACCATAATTATCCAATGCTGGTTTTATTTGCTGCATTATAAATCTCCTCCACACAATACCCCTTCTTTAAAATACCAAACATTTCGAATGCAATTGAGATATGAAATCTCAACAAGAAGACAATTCAAGATGGCAAATCAGTCAAAAGTGCAAATCAAAACCCATATTTACACGGCGAGTAGGCGCAATTTCTGATCGGTTTCGACACCATAGGTTGAAGCCATGAAGATAAACTTTATTTTAATTTTCTGGTTTAACAACTGCGTCGTAACAACATCACTAGTATTGCCTCGAAATGCAAATGTGAAATGTCGGCAGAAAAATACGGGCGCTTCCGATTGCTCCCGATACTTTACGAAAATCCGGACTGGACACCATCATCATCGCTCATCGCGTTTGTGTATGTGATAGTGGCTAGCCCGCAAACGGGCTAGCCACAAAAACCAGATGTTTATACATTGTCCTGGACAACAATCGCATGTACTGCAAATTTCAAGTAATATTCCATCAATATTAAGTTCCTGATCGAGGTTATTTTTCATCAAAACACACATTTTGCAAGAAACGTCATTTTCGGCCATGTTTCAGCAAAGAATTCTTGATTGCTAATTTCCCGATTGCGACAAGTAATACGTCTTGATAAGCGTTTATTAACGTTTACTTCTGCTAGCTTTCTTTTCTTTTCTTGTCCCTTTGCTGCAGTAGGAGAAACAGGGTAGCGAAATCTGTGTTTTTGTTGTTTTCACAATTTTTGCTGGCAAAAAGAAAGCGTCCGCGATAAATTTGGTCAGCGACGACAATTTTCCCACCTGTTTGCAACGAGTATAAATTTCTTACTCTACTTAAATTTTTTTCATTAAGTATTCCTCCAAACCCTCCCAAAAGTTTAAATCCTACACCTATAAAGTGAACAAAAATGATATACTGCAAAAAAGAATTCGGACTTTTAATTTATGACTAATTAGACTAATTGTCGCCCTTGATCATGTTATTACTCAGGTTATTCATATGGCAACTATTTTGATCCGGCAAAAGATTGTTCACGTATTGTTGACAATGTTCCAAAAGCTAAGAGTGGCATATACTGGATTCAAACAGAAAAGGGTCCGGTCAAAGTAAGTAAAATAATATGTGATTTATGATCAGGACTTTGTTGCAGATCCTATCCCTCATAAAAAGTATACATTTTTAACTATCTACATGTACACCATGGATGTTATATACACTAATCACCCTAGGACTGCAATTAATCTAATCTAAATGAATCTGGCGAGCTGACTCAGCTGAGAACTTTCCCGAAGCAAATTCGTACGCAAATGTAACGGCGTTCTCCAACGTTCTTCCGGTAATTGCAGTCCTGGCCTAGCCTAGGGTGATTAGTGTACATGACATCCAGTTTCAGGTCGTGGCCCAATTATCAATTTGATATAGGCATGGTGTGATGTTGATACAGATAGTGGGGGATTCTTATTGATTGGTATCAAAGATACACCTGAAACCTGGGCTATTCCTTCCAATTCTTCCCTTGTTCACCCTCACGGTCTGGCGAGGTGGTCAAGTACATTTGGTGAGAAAAATGTGATAGATTTTCGTGTACAGATTTCAACGACTAGAGAATTTCATGATACTCGCGCACACTGGTATGTAACGTGTTGTTGTTGTTATCACCTCCGCCAGAAGGTTATGTTTTCATCGGCGTTTGTATGTGTTTCTCTGTGTCTAATATCTGTGCGTTTGTCTGCCAGCACCATAACTTGGACATTACCTAATGGACATTGCCTAAGGACAAATTGATTAAATTTTGGTTAATTTGGATAAAAATTGGATGTGAAATTAGCAAACACTTGCTTTGCCGTGCAGAGTAAACAGAATGCACAATTAGCTTATTGTATAATTTATGCATGATAAATAACGGCCGCGGATGTATGCAGTCTTCGACTTCCCTCTAGTTGTTATTGTTATTGTCGTTGTTTGCTGTTGTTGTGTCTTCGACTTCCCTCTAGTTGTTATTGTTATTGTCGTTGTTTGCTTTGTTGTTGTTGTTGTTGTTGTTGTTGTTGTTGTTGTTGTTGTTGTTGTTGTTGTTGTTGTTGTTGTTGTTGTTGTTGTTGTTGTTGTTGTTGTTGTTGTTGTTGTTGTTGTTGTTGTTGTTGTTGTTGTTATTGCTGTTAGTGTTGTTGTTGTTGCTGCTGTTGCTGTTGTTGCTGTTGCAATCACTTGCTGTTGTTGCTGTTGCTTGCATGCATGCGCAGTTGTTGCTATTGCTTGCTGTTGTTGCTGTTGTTGCTGTTGCTGTCGTTGCTGATGCTATTCCTTGCTGTTGTTGCTGTTGCTGTCGTTGCTGTTGCTGCTGCTGTTCCTTGCTGTTGTTGTTGTCGTCGTCGTGGTTGTTGTTTTGATTGCTGTTGTCTTGACTGTTGCTGTTCAAGTTTTAAATCAACCACAGCGTAATTACTCTACTTTAGGTATTATCATTTCAAATCCCCGCGCATTCTTTCAAAATTGCTCATGTCGAACGAAGGAGGGTGCAGTCATCGATACCCAGGGATTGGGAACATTGCCTACGTCAAAGATCTTATGACCAGAAAGATCTCAACAAGAAACTTTTACTGTTCGCGATTTGGAGCTGCGATTGCACCTGGACTAGGATGGGTCTGTAACCTTATTCTTATACTATAAATGTTGAAAACTGTGATGCACATAATTTAGAGGTCTTGCAGAGCACTTCATTTTCCATCATTTTCATTCATCAGGATAAAATGAACGAATGTTTTAAAGAATCATGTCCAATTGGCTTTGCGTATCTTCATAATTATCATATCGACACATCTGGCTCATACAGGTAATAAGTATGTCATGATTTGCTTTCTTCGCCCATGGACATTAACATTGGTTAAAGGAATGAACTTTATCGAAGATATTGAAAAATATTTGAATGATATTATTTGGCTACGTTTTGTTAAAAAAACTCATCATCTGGCGTATTCAGCTACTTTTAGTCAGCAAATAGAGCCGGTTGTAAACAAAAAATATTGTCACATGCAGACTAAAATTTGTTTTACGGTCAAACTTTACATACTGTACCAGTGCATATTGCATAAAATCAGAACTTTCTTCTGTTATTTTTCTTCATGCAGTTACAGTGTTTCGTCTGGACGTTCAGGCATACAGGACAATCAAACATCATTTATTGGATGTGATCACGGAGAAGTACGTATACAGGTCTAAATAGAGCAAATCATGAATAATTAGTGGTTAAATTTGAGGGGCTGATTTGTTTTGGCAACTGCAAGCCTTTAGCCGTTTGATTAGATGATTTAACCGTAAACGAATCAGATCAGATACAGATCGGATGCGAATGTTTCGTCGTACTTAAAAAATGACCCATCTTATGAGTTCATTGGCGAAGTAATTTTAAAAATAAACATTGTCTAAGCCGAGAAAATCAAAGCTGAAGTTTATGTAAATCCGGACAAATCTTTATCCGATTTACAAACATTGATTAAACATTCATTTCTTTTGTATTTTCCTCATGAATTATTAATGAATTTTTTAATGATAAATAGTCAACGCTCAATTCCAATCTGTGAAACGCCTGTACTGAGAGCAAGGTAGCCTAGAAAGTAAACCGAAGCAAAATTGTAGCAGTAGTATATTTTTTTAAATGTCGTTTTCTCAACTACAACAATGCTTTCAATTTGACGAGTGTCGGACTTTTAACATGAAAAAATGTTCTGTGAATTACCAACAGTTAAAAACTTACTTTAACTATTTAAAAATAGTTAAAGTAAATTTTTAACTGTTGGTAATTCACAGAACATTTTTTCATATTTCCCAAAGATTCAAGAAAATATTATATTTTCCAGCCCTGCAAAAACCCAGCCACAGAACGCAATAAATTCAATTTTATATAGTGCTGTGCATGTTTTGGTCCGGACAGCCAGCAGGATTACTGCGCACCAAAATGTCAAGCTATCAATGGAGGGACGGTTTTAAGAGAAAAGGACAATATCACAGTTTGGTTTTGGATCCGTTCATCTTTACCAAAGCGTGTTTGGAAAAAATGCATGGAGTTTAAAGAAAAGAACAATGCTGGAAAATTTGAAATATGGCGTGTCGAGGATGGAGTAAAGAAACAGGTAATCGGTTGGCCTAAACTAGAAACATATAGCTATTACATATATTAACATTGACTTATAAGACCTGTCTATATCCAGTAATTGCCATATTGCTTATATAGGGTCCATGTTCAGTTCCTGGAGATGTCACAATTAATGATGGGGTAAGCTATAAGGACTCTGGTATTCTATATAACGAAGTTATATGTAAACAACTTCAAAGCTCAATTGCATGTCTTTCCCTTTATTGAATAACATCAAATAATAGCAAGAATCTCCGATTTTGTTGATTTTTTATACAGGTTGCAGTGGTTGCCAACAATAGATCAATGAACAAACTTCCAAAGGTGGAAGGTCTTCTTTCCTATCGTTCTGACGACAAGAAGCTGTATCTCAAAGAAAAATCTCAGTGGAAAGCATTGGCAACTCAGAAAGGCGTAGGTTATCCGTCCATGTTGCTTTTCAAATAACGCCTAAACTACATGATATACGTAGCGAAAACTTTGACGTGTGTGTGTGGGAGGGGGGGGGAGGGGGAAGCTGTACAATTAATTAATTTTCACCCTCAGGAAACTCGAAAATGCAACAAATATTTTGTATTTGTAGCTTGCGTTCACTTTTAACTTCTACTTTTACTTCTGCTCCCCCCCCCGTCCCCACACACACTCCCCAGTCCGCTACGGCCCTGGTTGTGGTATGTTATGTAAGTCGTATAGTAGCTACTGAGACCACCTTAAAAAGAATTCTATCTCTTTTGTAAAAAGATTAAAAATGTCTTTGGGAAGCTTTACAGTTTCAAGAAAGAAGTCAACAATAAACTTACAACGGTGAATAAAGGTTTTTATAATTATTAGCTTATTTTATTTTATTTAGATGCTTTACTTTGTTTTTCAATGTAGAGTCAATGTTTTATTTTCTATTAGTTAATTTGCTAGTACCACATCTCTTTGTTTCTTAAAGATGTTAAAGTGCTGAGACAGGAATTGACGAGTCAAAGGTATACTTTAAATTTACTTTGTTCTATATTTACTTTGTATCTCTTTGTTCAATCATGCATGTTTATGCAAATTGGGCAGGGCGAAGACAATGTATTTTGGCATAATGAAGCAATCACCCATGCAATAGCGTCATCTCGTCGACTAGTAACCATGCAAAATCTTAAAAGATTTGTGCACATTGAATATGCCCTTTGCTCGTCTTAATTGAAAACTGTAGCTCACTTAGACGCTTTGAAATTTGTTGAATTAACAGTGAAAATAATATCAAAGATGTCATTCGTAAACTCGAAAGTTTCAAGCAAGAAGTCAAAAATAATCTTACAACAGTGAATAAAGGTAATATAGAATATTCTACAGAGATGTTGGTAATCATTTGCAGGTTTAACTTTGATGCTCTTTTCGCCATTTGGATGTTTTATTTTATATTCTTTACTATAGTTAGTTGGCTAATGCCACTCCTTTATTTTTAAAGACGTTAAAGTGCTGACACACAAATCATGCAAACAAATATGTATGAGTCGAAGGTAAAATGTGGGCAATGTTAATTTATATAAACTTCGGCACGCGGAAGACAATGAATTTTTAGACATTATGTATGAAGCTACACATGTATTGTCAAATCAGGCATCATCTCATCAAATCACTTGAACCAGCGTATTATTGGAATATTCTTAATCAAAATTTTAAAAGTTTTGTGCATGGTCTCAACATATACAAAATTGTCGCTCATTATATAGAGGCTGATTTTCCAGTAAACTTTCCAACCAAAATTTTCAGTCTACATTAGTTATGATAAGTTTCAAAATGTTTCATTTATCTTACAGTAACAAGGGAAGTGGTGTTTACCAAATCAGTGTTGGGAAAAATGAAGTTATCAACGTGTACTGTCGAATGTCTGCATTGTCATATTGCTCTGGTGGTGGTTGGACAATGGTGATGAAAATTGACGGAAGCTCAGTAAGCCTGCGTGCAGACTTTATTTTCAATATATTGTGTTTCTAACTGATCGGAGCGCAAAATGTTGTAAATCTTGATCATACTTATATGCATATCTACACTACAAAAAATTAAACATTTGAGTTTCTAGCATAAAATACTGACATAAATGTCACCATGAGGTTTAGGATTACGGTGAGCTTGAGAATTTGGGCCAGTTTTAGGGTAGGGTCAGCTTTAGGATTAGGGTGAGGTGAAGGATAAAGTCAGATTTAGGGTGATTTTTAACGTACTTGTTTTTATAGAGTACCTTCACATACAGTTCCTCCCACTGGACGAGCAAAGGCACTTACAATGAGAATGACTATGGGCGAAAGGGCGGTTTAGACAACCGACAATATAAAGGATCAACTTACTGGAGAACCTCATTTAAAGAACTTTGTGTTGGCATGAGATATAATGGATATTTCAAGGCATTCTCTTTCTGGTATCCAGCATCATCGTTGTATGATCTGATCGCAGACGGAAATTATCGAGAAACTCGCCTTGGTCCCTCGCAATGGAGACGTTTAATCTATAGACCATCCTTACAACGTAATTGCAATAAAGAGGGGTTTAACGCGCATGTGCAAAACAGCATCTTTACACGAGTTCGTTTAGGCCTGATTGCAAACCAAGAAAATGATTGTAATACGCCCGACTCTTTCATAGGCCTGGGAGCTTCTGGTGGTTGGCATTATTGTAATTACTCACCATCTGCCAATGCCGCGGGTAATATTGCCCAGTGTAGTGCAGACAACGGAAACAAGAATGCCAAAGCCATGGGATACATATTTGTTCGTTAAAAGAACTCAACGGTCCGATTTACACCAGAGATGGATTATTCGTCAAAACGCATCATCTGTCAGACAGAACATTCGCCTTTTAAGGTCATATTGCACGAGGCAATTTTTGCTGCAACTTGCAATGCAGCTTCTGCCACAGAGCCATATTAACAAAATTCGAGGAAACATCAAACATAATTCTACGCATGGCCCACGGTTTACTCTGCCGTCATTTTTATCCCATTTCTTTCATTTCCATTCCTTAATTAGAACATGATCAAGCCAATCAGAACTCAGTATTTCAGTGGTCTATAAAATATATAAACTGTCTCAACTAGCTTAATTCATAGCACTTACAGTGAGTTTATGTGTTTCATTGGTATTCTCTATGTACAGAGTATATAAATATATGTATATATATATATATATATATATATATATATATATATATATATATATATATATATATATATATATATATATATATATATATATATATATATATATATATATATATATATATATATATATATAAAAGGTAACCTAACTATCGCATGTTATCGACTTATCGTGCATTATATAACGTTTATCCATTTACTTTTTTCGTACCATTAAAGATCAGGCTTTTAGCTGTCGAATGCTACCATTCTCGTACCATTGCGATCAAATAACAAAATACGATGCGATTTACAAATGCCGCTCGAAATCGAGGATCAAGTTATGGTAAATATTCTATTCGCAATTTTGCATCGAAATTGAGTGGTTGAAATATTTTACCGAAACTAGATGTTCGCAGACTAAACTCGCAATGCCATACGTTTCCCAAATGGACAACAAGCATTTGGGCAAAATTAATGTTCGAGAATTGCCTAAAATGGAAGAACATTTCAACCGCCCATTATAAATCACATCGTAATCACTATTTAGTCAAAGTTGGATTACCTTACCGTTGGATTATACTTCCCAAAAATATAAAGAAATAATTAATTATTCGTGGATGTGATCAACTGATCATGTTCTATGATAAGTCGAAACAGAATTGGGTGATTTTTAACTAATTCTCTGGACTCTATATCCCACTGAACACATGTGATCATTGTCCATGTGATCATATATATATATATATATATATATATATATATATATATATATATATATATATATATATATATATATATATATATATATATATATAACACACACTCT